AGCTAAAGCATGATGTCAGCCCTTGATTATCTGGCTTGGGGGTAAGCTAATTTTCTCTCCAACCTGCTGAGGCATCCTGCTAAGGATGCAGAGGCTACCCCCATACCCTGCCTTATCCCTGTGTGTGTTGCCAGACCAGCTGTCTGTGGAGCTCTCAGATCCTATTCTTCAAGGTACACTGTCCATTCTTTGTATTACACAATCTATGCATGTTTTGTATTATCCATGCTTCTGCTTCACTGAGCTTATTTTGCAGTACCCCTGGGTAACAGGAAGTTCTCAGCATTCTCATCCCACTACCATTTTTGTATCAAGTAGTTTTCCAAGTAATCTGTGAAAGTCTAGGTTTGTTTATGTTCTGGGTTTGGGGTCAGCCCTGGCTGGAAACCTAAGACTGATGTTTGGATCCAGGTCCCATATTGCTGTTTAAAAGATTAAAGCATCTGTAGAAACTCAAACATTCTATTGTTGTTTCTTTTTCTTCTAGAAACAGCAGACTGTGATCAACAAGAGAACTGACAAAAAGAAAACAAGAAGTAGGGAAACAGAGATGACCATGTCCATATTGGTAAATTACGAAGTGAATGTTCTCTAGATGAGACCATCTATGCTATTCATTTATATGAATAGCCAAGGATTGCTCCTGGTAGTTAGTTTGGATGCAGCCATGCTAGTCTTGAGACTGAGAGTTTATCTTCATGGTGGATACAAGTTATTCTGTGGCAATTTGTTTATGTGGAGATGGTCCTGAAAATGCTGAATTAAGGCAGAGATACCTCTACCGTGGAAAATCATGTGTCTCCAAGTGGGTAAAAGGGAAGCCTGATTTCTTCCATGCTACTTAGCCCAAATTAGGACTGTTGGATGCAGTTGTTTAGGAGAATCATGGTGTTGCAACTTCTTATCGCTCCCATCTGTATCTGCTTTTGATGCAGACAGCGGGAGATGGCTGAATCTGAAGAAACCCCCATTAGCCGCACCCTTGATGCAATGCACATTCCTTGCTCATTGACTCACGGCTATCAGCTTTCCCTTACTCCCTCTTTGCCATGTGTTTTGCAGCACTCTGAACACCTGAGGAGACAGCGTTTTGAGCAGACACTTGCTGTATTTGTGCACAGTATTGCATGTCCTCTCTCTGTCACTCTGGACATATTTGGCTCATGCAACAGATCAGAGATTAGGTAAGCAAAGCTATAAAGTTCTATAAAAGCTATAAAGGGAGGTGTTGTCTTTTCCCTTCTATGTGCTGCTGTACAAACAAGCAATCAGTGTTAAGAGAGGAAAGAGGGAAGCTGAATGTGTTAAAGTATACACATTTAAACAGTTCTCTAGAGATGTTCTCTAGAAGCAGCACAGTCTGACAGGGTTTAAATAGTGTTCAAAAGAAACAGCTGTTGAGTGATAACTCCAGTCCTGCCACTAACATTCTACCCAAGACAAATTAGTTTCAATCTACAAAATGAAAATGATAGTTACTAACCTGCTTTACAGGTGATTTTCAACTATAAATTAATTAATATTTGTGCAGTGCTTTGAAAGTGCAAAGTGCCATGAAATGCAAAGAATAATTACCTCGGTCCTTTGTTTTAAAACATCAGTGAGCAATCATAGAATAAAACCGCTGTGCAAACTGTGATGTCCGCTGCCTGGAACACCACACACATTAAATCTGAGAAAGCCAGGTTGTAAAATCCCGTTAATTCAGCTCTGCTTCATCTCTGCTCTTCCAACAAAGATTCTGCCCTTTAGAACCACTTCTGCAACATGCACAGAAGAACCATGTTACTACTGAGGAACAGTTGCTAGTAAATTTTGGTGAGATGCAAATGCTGACCCAGTCCTCATTGGGTAATGGATTTACAGTTTACATGTGTATATATGCTGAACATACAGGAAAAAAAAGGAGATATGTATGCCCAATAAAGGAGGTCACTGAAGAATGTTGAAGTGAGGTGTTTTATTTGGTGGAATATTCTCACTATGAACCATAAATTTAAAAACAAATGGTCAAAAGCCTGACCTTTATCCCATGGCCTTTGCACACATACAGTTTTGCGATGTGAAAAAATACGGTATGCCCATGCTGAAATTCACTCTGTTACACTAACTTCAAAGAAGTTGGATGAAATGCAATTTCTGGGTACGTGGCCAGCTGTGTAGGGAAAATGCCATGTTTGAGTTCAAATTTACAAAAATTGTTCAGTTATGTCAAACGGGCCTGAAAGAGCTGCCTGTCATCACTAGTGTCTTCAGCCTCAGTCACTCTGTGTATCTTGTGACCTTGACAAGCAGAGCATAGATGCCATAGAAATGGTGCATCTGTGTTCAAAAAGCCGGGAAGTCAGAACCCATGGCAAGTCTGTGGTACTGCACCACCACTCTCAGACAAGACTTCCCTGCATTGAACGTCTGCAGAGTGGGAAAGAAAACACAGAGAAGAACTTGCCCAGTCTTCTCTTTACCATGTTAGAAACGAAGGAGAAATTAAGTTAGGATCAATGCTTGTTTTCATGTGGATTGGTGTAGGGACAGTATGCGATAGGCTGTAAATGAAATATGAAATATTCCTGCACTGTACAGGAGGTAGAATCACAATTGTATGAAAAATTCTGCAATGCAAGTGCTTGTTCTGAAATGAGTTAGAACAGGACTTTGCCAAGTTTCTCCACTGAATTCATGTGCAAAAGATGTTTTCATTTTCCTGTGCTTAGCTTACTTTTTAACTGTCATGCCAAATCCTTCCTTTATTGTAGATTATCAAAACTCAGTTTCATGTTGGTATCTCATTGTGCAACATGCGTTCCTAGAGGTATCTGTTTTTATTTAGCATTTATCTGTAGAACTGATTTGAGGTTCATTTCTTTGGTGTCTTAATTGCACTTCCTCTCATAATGCAAGCTGCAACCTTTAGCGTGTATTGAGGTTACTTTGCAAATCTCCCCTCTCTAAAAGATGATTTTCTCCCGGGCTTCTCATTTTTAAAAATCTTCCAATTTGTCTAAACAGATGAAAATGTGTCATGCGCACGTAAAGTTTTTGAGGTTGCACCGTGTAAGCATCTTTGAAGCAAACTGAATTAAATGGATATTGTGTTGCAGGATCAAATTCTGCCCCTGTTAAAGGCACAGAAACAATCAGAGGAGCAATGTTGTATGGATATACTTACGTCTGAGTTTACTTCAAAGTATTTATTGTGTATTATTTACAATGGATAAGGAAAAGAGCATGCCAGCTATAGCATCCAAAAGCTCATCTCAATAATAAATGATTAGGGACATGATACGGTATGTGTTGGAGCATCTATCTTGTGCTACTGTAACTGAATGGTGTTTCATGTTGCCTAATTAGCACAATAACTTGTTAAACTTAAAAAAAAATTATGCAGAGAAATCTGATGGGTAATATAAAATCAATGAATCATTATAAAATCAGTGGATCTCTCAGAATCTCTCAGAAGGCATGAATCACCAAGGCAGGATATCTCAGCGGCTGTTTTGCTATCTATGCGATATATTTATGATATCCAGTTGTGTTGCTATCAGCAACACACTGATGGGGATAGGCACAGGCATTTAGCACGTCCACCTCCCAAGCCCCTTGTCACTGTGAGTTCTGGAGTTCCCAATCGATCATAGCAGTTCATATCCTATTGACTTTGTGACCAGAATCTTTTCAGGAGCTTTAGAAAGAAGTTTCCAGTAAGCAGCACATAAGCATGAGTCTGGGTGCCGGATGGTGAGACAGAAAACCATGTGCTTGAGAAGATCCCAGCACGGGCAAGTGACACTTCGTGTCCCATTTCCATGCCTAAGCAATAAGGCAGTGCTCCTTCTCACCTTGCAGATCAGCAGCCCACTTTAAAACAAAATAGATACATGTTGACTTGCTTGGGTTTGCTTCTTGGGGTAGCAAAGCTGAGGGGGAAAGAGCATGGTGCTTTTGCTTTGTGGATTTCCCTGCAGCACCCCAAGAACACTTCTGTATTACTGTCTGTTTGCAAAGTAATTCACTACTCACAACAGGTAGAAAAGAGAAACAACACGGGCAGATACGGGCCCTGCTAAAATACATCTAGCATCAGCTCGGTTTTTCTTGAGGCAAAATGACCACGTGGGAATAGGACCGAATGGGACTTTTCGCGGGCTCTGCTGATCCCGAGGTAGCAGAAAAGAGGGCTGCGTATAACGGGACGAGATGGGTTTCTGCTGCATTCCCCGGCAGAGGCTGAGCTGCTGCCCGGTGTCCCACGGGAGGACACGGAGAGGGAGCTGAAGGCCACGGGGCTTTTTCGCAAGCAGCGACGCAAACGTCTGCTCGCTCCTTCGGCAGCTGCCGGGCAAACAAACAGCCGGGAAAGCGGAAAACGGGATATCCTCAACACTCACATAAACAGAGCAGGGGAATCGGCCGAGCTGCTCCCTTCCCCCACAACCCGTTCTCCTCTGTCCTGGGGCAGGTAGGGGCCGCTCCATCCCTACCTGGGCGGGGAAGGCGCCGCTGGTTCCTCCTCCCCCCGCTCCTTGCTCCCGCCCCATCCTCCTCCTCGGCGTCCCCAGAGGGAGCCCCTGCGCTCCGCGGCCGGGCGGAGAGCACAGCTGGGCACAGTAGTCCCGCGGCCGGCCCCAGCCGCTCCGCAACCCCTGCGACAGGAGGAGCAGAGGAAGGAGGAAAGAAGAGGAGGAGGAGGAGGAGGAGGAGGGGAAAGAGGAAGAAGAAGGCAGCAGTCCGCCTGTAGCTGGGCAGGCACGTGTGCGCGCAACCCTCGACGGCCTCCCTCCAGCATGTTGCGCAGAGGCAGAGCGGCTGCCAGGAGCTGAGCGGGGCGGAGCGGAGCGCAGGGCAGAGCAGAGCGAGGAGCGGCTCGTCGGGGAGCTCCGTGCTCCCGTCACGTCCCACGCACGCCATGGGCGTCCGCAGCCCCCTGTCCGCCGCCGGGCCCCGCGGGGCCGCTGTCCTGGTGCTGCTGCTGCTGCTGGGGCGCGTCGCCCTCTGTTCCGCCGTGGAGGAGAAGAAAGGTAACGGGCGGTGCGGGTCTGCAGCGGCGCTGCCGGGTGTGAGCCTTGGTGCTGCGGGGAGCGTCGGAGGGAAAGTCCCGGCTTCGTCCCTTAAGAGAAAGGGGAAAAAAAAACCGGAGAGAAAGATGGGAAAACAAACCTACAGCAGCGATCGTGCAGCTCTGACTTCCTGATTCTAAGCTTATTTTCTTTTGGGGGGAGGGGGGGGAGGAGGTGGAGGAAATAAAAGGGAATAAACCTTCGCGCGTCTCATCGTTTGTGCTTCTCCCCTCTCGAGGCTTTTTTTTTTTCCTTCTTTCCACTCCGCCTCCCGTGCTCTTTCCGCGGTGTCCCGAGCTCCCTCACCGCCCGGCTTTACCCCGTGCTGGCCGCCGGCCCCGTCCTGCTGCCCCGCGGAGCTCGGGGAGATGGCACCGAGCACGGCAGGGACACGCCGGGCAGCCTCTGCCGGCCCGCCGCCTCGGGCCGGACACCTCAGCTCATTCCGCTCCAAAAAGATGAATGCATGTATATACGTGTGCACACACCTGGGTAGGGCGTGTAGGGGAAGACGGGAAACTTCTTGAGGGTTCTGGTTCTCCGGTTATCAAAGCAGAGAGCGTTCCGTGCTCTCTCTCTGCCCCGCGAGATGCTGTCACCCTCGCTGAGCGCCCGGCAGCCGTGCGTGGGAACGGCGGGGGGTGGCCGCGAGGCTGTCTGCTTGGCTTCTGGGGCTTTGTTTTTTACACGTTTTTGAAAAACTGGTTTAAGGAGTGAGGAAACGTTTGTGTTGGGAGAGTTCCGTCACTTTTTCTCCATGCGTGGTGATCTTTTCTGTGAATAGGCCCCGAGCGTTGTTCCAGGCAGAGTGCAGTTCTCTTTATCTTGGAAATCTGCCAGCAAGGAAAAAAATGCAGATTTGTTGTATTTTCTTTCTACAGAAAAAGAGGAAAAAGAGAATTAGTGGTGTTTAGAAGAGCTGGTGTGTGGCTGAAAACAGCTGAACCCATCTTTGTGTAACTGAGGGCAATAAAACCATCTTGAAAGGGGCAGCAGCTCCCCGTTCTGAGGAACTAGTTGCACAACCTCAAAGCGGCGAAGAGGCTCCCTGGTGCCAGAAATCAAGTTCATACCTGTTGCTGATGTAATGTAGGTAGCTCTTCTTTCCCAGGTTTCTGATCTTTTTCTTTTCTTGTTTCTCCTCACCCTTTGAAAGTGACGCAGAGCAGAGCTGGCTCCATCTCCTGCATTTCTGTTAAGTCCTTTGAAATGCAACTCCCAGGTGCACGTACCCTGTAGAATCTGTAAAATGTGAGGATAAACACATTGTTCCCTTCTTTAAAGCGCTTAATTCTGTGTCTCATGAACTTATGAGGGTGCTGTTTATTTGAGGATTATTAAGTGATCAACAGCTACGTGATAAATCCAACAGACATTATTGTCAGCATTCTGTTAGTGAGTAACTGTTCATGTGAGGAGGACTAGGGTCAGAAGAGGGAAAGGCAGAATAACTTCTTCAAGAATCAATTCTTTGGGCTTTATTTGTTTTCCTCCGCATTTGAGGATGAATGAGAAAAGAAGGTGGGTACAGAATAAAGCAGCATTTGGGAATCAAGAGATGCTGATTTAGGCAAAAGCCCATCACCTTGGGACCCCATGGCATCTGAATTTCCCATTTTCCAGTTCTGAAAGCAAATGTACTGCCATAAACATTGCAACACTCGTGTCTTATGATAAAATTCTGTTGCTTCTAGATGTCCAAATGGCATGTGCATTTGTACTTCTTAGTATTTCTATAGTTAGTACTATCCCCCAAAAGTATGTAGGCAAACCTTTTTGTTACAAGAAGGTCAGAATCAACCTATAATGGGCGATGTCATAGTTTGATGGAAATTAAGATATAATTGTATATTTTACCAGAAGTTTAGGAAGATCTTTTCAAATTGGGATGAGACAAAACTTTTTTGTTTGAGTGACTATAGTTGTGAAAATGAAAAACAAAACAAAACCCAATAGTTATGCATAATCCAACACCAAACAGCATTGTTGGATACTGAAGAACACTCTCAGGAATCAATACCTCCCTCTCTCTCAACCCACCTTCTCTAATATTGATCCAGATTAAAAACAGAGGAAGTTAGGAAGTTATCTGGATTTACACTTATATTTGCTGGATGGCCTGTTAGGTGGCACCTGGTACAATTTCTTTGACAGCAGGCATGCCACTTCCTGCAGCATGCTTTTGACTGATGTCCATTTTGTGTTTCAGTGCTTAGTGACACTGCTTTTATGCAAACTGCTTTTTGTTGCTTTATTGGCTCTATATGGCTAGTTTTGATCTGTACTTTTGCAGCCTTTGTGGGATGGGAACAAGGACTGTGCACATTAACCCACGGGGCAGCATACTGCAGAAGGTCTCTGCAGTACCCTCTCGTGTACCTTATGCTTCGTATCGCTTTCTGCGGAACGGGGAAATTAGGCTCCTTTAGGATGCTGTAGTTGTTTTTTTTTTTTTTTTTTTTTTTTTTTTTTTTTTTTTTTTTTTTTTTTTTTTTTTTTTTTTTTTTTTTTTTTTTTGCCTTTGAAAACTATAACAAATTTGTGAAATGCTGGAGATGATTTTTCAGATGTAGTTCAATGTGGTGAAATAAAGCAATTAAATAAGTCTTCAGTATAAACCTGTTCTTACTCCTTTGCCTCAATGTGTGAACAATTAAGAAAAAAATCCAAAGCCTATTGTTAAGGGCAATTGGTGATAAGCAAAGAAGGGAAGGCAGAGTGACAGCAGTCATTCCCTTAATTCAGACAACTTGCAAATACAGTGAATGTGCAAAATGCTGTGAAAGAGTTTGATGTCTCAACAGAATGCATGTATGTTCACATATGTACATGTGAACAAACTGCGTGCAGAAGTGATAGTAGTAAATAATGTATTATTGCTTGCATCAAGAGAGTATGAAGAGATTTCCAGATAAGTGAGAAATGAAGAGCAATGCCCTGAAGACTACCGTCAGAGTAGTACATTATAATTCATTTGTTAATTTATAGAGACTTTCAGGGAGTGTAACACAATGTCATTGTGTTCCTCAGGGCTGACTTTTTCATTTGGGTATCCATATATCACTGAAATCAGTAGGATATGCGAGCTTTAGCTGCGAGATAGCTGACTGGCCAAACCAGTTCCTTCTGAAGGCATCCTTATCTTCCTTCAGTACAAACTACATTAGCTTTAGCAGATGTTCAGAAATAAGCCTACTGAAAGGTTTACTTCATCTTAGGGAGGATGACTGTCTTCCCCGAATGCACTAATATCCATACTTACAAAGCAAAACCCCTAGATCAGTCCAAGTTTCAGTAACGTGTGCATCAGAGGGTACAGTCAAACTGTGGTTCTAAGTGTTGCATCCAATAAAAAACTAACATACATTAAAAACCTAGCAGTCAGTATGTCATGTTCTACTTGTGTCAAATCCAGTGTTCCAGTCTGTATTGCTGAAGTGCTTTGTGGTTGTGCTTTGTGCCAAATTGCTTTGCCTTGGAGGGCATTGCTCTGAGAAGCCAGGGCTGGCCATACTCACCAAATTATCCTCTGACTGGTCTACACAAGAGGAGAACTTGTTGGGGTGACCCACTGACAGATGAGCTGGAAAGGCCTCGTTTTCAAAAAGTGACCTGCTATCAAGAGTAGTTGTTATTTTAGAAGAGCGTTAGTTGCACTGTCTTTTATCATTCTTCAAATACCACCCTGTTACACTGCTTTCCTGGAGCAGGGGAAATGTGATCACCTTGGCTGGGGCTCAACTAGTACAGAATTGCACCCAATCTAATTAGGATTTTGCTAGTTTTAACAGAAGCAGGAAGTGATTGGAAAGAGAGCAGGGCTTTCATTTGCTCTTCATTAGAGGCACATTCTGACTTTTCCTTTCTTGAATTTGCCATGCAGAAACTGTGGAAAGTGTGCAGCCTCTGATGCATGCTCAAGCAGTAATTATTGCTGTGCTAAGGATCATCACCTGACCCGCTCTCACATCAAGGTCAGCCTGAGCAACGTGCCTTGCTGTAAGCATGTTTTGAGAAGTGAGTGCACAGTTTGCCTCTCTGAGTCCTACAAAGCGCTTCACCCAGCACCTGGGTGCAGTGGTGGCTGAGTGGGACCATTGCTTTGCCCGGGCTATGTGATACCTGGGGGAAGGCATGATGGGATCAAGCAAAACAGCCCTTGCCTTGGGGATACACTCTCCCAGTTAGACTGATGTGTGCTGGCACACCAGCTCTGGCTGAGAGGGTGACTCACCAGAGGTCCTTCTGCCCCTGTTGCCTGCTTGACCCTGCCAGGTAGTCATTGGCACGGATTTAGCAGCTTTAGCAGGGGTAGAAAGCACTTAGGTTCAGCAGAGACCACAAGGATGATCTGAGGGCTGGAGCACCTTTCTTGTTGAGACAGGCTCAGGGAGCTGGGCTTGTTCAGTCTGGAGAAGGAAAGACTCTGGGGGAGACCTTACAGTAGCCTTCCAGTATCTAACATGACCTGCAGGAAAACTGGGGAAGGACTCTTTATCAGGGAGTGTAGTGACAGGACAAGGGATTATGGTTTTAACTAAAAGAGGGGAGATTTAGCTTAGGTATGTGAAAGAAACTCTTCTCTATGAGGATGGTGAGGCACTGGAACAGGTTGCCCAGAGAAGCTGTGGATACCTCATCCCTGAAGGTGTTACCAAGGCCAGGTTGGATGGTGCCCTAAGCAGCCTGATGTAGTGGCAGGGATTCCTGTCCATAGCAGAGGGAATGGAAATAGATAGTTGTTTGAACCCAAGTCACTCTATAGTGTGGTATGGTCCTAGGGTAATTCTGCTTTGCTGGGAGTTAATGGTGCTTGGGATGTGAACCCACCAGTTGATGTTTCCTGTGGACTTGGGCAGTTGTTGTTCAGCTTGATACAGTGCATGCTACCCCTTTTGTGTGTGAAAAAATTTGACTTCCTTCTATGCATCCAGGAACACTATGTTAGTCAGCAGAGGATGAGATCTAGCACAGTTCCTGCCCGTTTTGGCTTTCACTGTGTTACTTCTGGCTTCCCATGGCATCAAACTGGACTGTAACACTCCTTTATTTAGGGCTGAATTCTGCTGACCTAATTGTATTGAGTAATAATGTACTTTTTTTCCAGAAGTTAAAGTTACAGAGGTCTTGGCATGAATATGGGCAGCAGAAGTTATTTATAAAAGAAATGTGGAAAGTATTTTTTTTTTTGCTGTTCAGAGAGGTTGTACAAAATGAATGTCTATTTCTGCTGAAGCAAGATTGTTGTTTATTAAGAAAGCTGTGACTACTATGCCTTATTAGTTTGGCCCATGTGGAGCATATTTATATGTAGGTGTGGGTCTTGTGCACTCTGTATTTAATTAGTAATGTTGTTAAGTGTTGTTCACAAGGAAAAAGCATGAGAAATTCTTGTTACTTTTCCTGTTCAAACAAACTTTGTGATGACCAAACTTTCTGAAATACGCTTGCTACCACATTTTGAAGTTTTAATGCGAAGTGCGTTTTGCCTACTGACAAATCAGTGCAAGGCAGATGCGAGTTTCCTCTGCCTTCCAGTGTGCTTTCTTCAACCCACACATCTGTGTACGTGAAAGTAAACATCTACATGTTCACATGCATGTCTCGCTGTTTGAGTGCATCAAACCATGGGAGGATTCTGTTTGTTTCGGTGGTTGAAGGAGGAAAACAAACAAACAAACAGAAAGAATGACTTCTAGTCAAAGTGAAACATATTAGGGTGGTTCTAGTAAAGTGAAAAAAAAGAAAAATGAAAGAAAAAAAAAAAAAGGAAATAAAAACAGAGCACTGACTATCTAAAAAAAGGCAGATCTAGGCTAATTTAGAAGATTTGTTTGACCTGAAACCATTTTTTTTTTTCAAGTTGGGTAAAAAGGAAAATCAAATGCTATTTGTAATGAAAAATTGCCAGTTTATTCTGAAAATAGCAGAGCACTGCTTAATTTTCTTAAATTTATCTCCCACTCAGTTTCTGGGCCACGGCATATTTGCTGCATTTGGCTCAAATTAATGAACTAACTTCAGTTCTGTTCTTTGCTTCAGGAAAAACTAAGGTGGGATGAACTGCTATTTGTGTAAAGTTGAGAAGC